CCATTCACCAAAACGCTGTAGTTTTTCTACCAGAAATATTCAATAAAGCTTGCCCCTCCATTCACCAGAACTGTGCAATTTTTACATCAGGAATTTTCAATTCAGCTTGCCTCTCCATACAGCAGATTGTTGCAAATCTTACACCAGAAATTTTCAATACAAACTTGCTCCCATAAAATTTTACACCAGAAAATTTAAATTGATCAGAACGATGCAAATTTTTAACCGGTAATGTTCAATAAAAATCGCTTCTCCAATCTTCTGATTAGTGCAGATTTTCTTTTTCCATTTTCCACCAGACATTTTCAATTTAGCTTGCTTATCCTATCATCAAAATGTTTCAGGTTTTTCACCAAGTAAAGCTTGCCCCTATTTTCAGCTTTTTCATCATAAATTTTTAGTAAAGCAGCTTCCGTCCAATCATCAGAATAGTGCAAATTTTACACCAGAAACTGTTATTAAAGTTTGTTTATCTATTCAGCATAAGGATGTAAATTTAGGACCAAAAATTTTCCAAAAAGCTTGCCCTTCCGTTCACCAGAACGGTGCAGATTTTCCACCAGAAATTTTCAATATAGCTTAATTTTAAATAAAGCTTGTGCCTTTAGATTGCCACCAGATTTCGTTCATTTTGTTTACCAGAGCGATGAAAATTTTGCACCAGAAATTTCCAATAAAGCATGTTCCTCCATTCACCAGAACGGTGCACCAAAAATTGACAGTGAAGTTTGTTTCACCATGTATCTTTGTGGTGCAATTTTCAGGTTTTGCCTCTTCATGCACCAGAATGCTGCAAATTTTCCACCATTAATTTTTAATTAAGCTTGCATTCATCAGAACGATGCAAATTATGCACCAGAAAAATGAATAAATCTAGCTTCTACATTCACTACAGTGTAGCGAACTTTCCATCAGAAATTTTCAGTTGAATGTACACCTCCAAATTTTTAGCGTTCATTTTGTTTAGTCCCTCCATGCACTTAATCACTTAATCAGATAAGATACGCCCTTTTGAAAAATCACCCTTTTTTTGCTTATTAATTTATTTGATAAGGTTCAACCTTTACAGAGCCGAGGATTCTTGTTCACTATACAATACATCTTAAAACTATAGTCAAAAGGTACCACACTATAAACACTTTATCTTCCGCTATCCAATAAGCCTCCTCCACCAGAACGGGAGCCGCTTCTAATGAAGTAATGAAATTGGGTTGTTAGCGGAATGCTTAAATAAAACAGCAAAAAAGGTTATCTTCCATTTAATTCCACATAATTAATTTTGGTATCCATGACAGATACGTATTTCGACTACAATGTGCAGTCTTCATCAGTGTCATTCCCACTAAAGAACTTTTCAAAATCTAACCCCCTTAAGTACTCATCCAAATGATAGTGAGTATTTAAAAATAATTTAAACACTTCATTTTAACATTTTTACTTAAATCAAAAAAAATCCGGAGCTGCCGACGATTTTTCATCCGACTTCTTCTGATTTTTTTCGACTAAGGAATCTCATGAGTTTTGTTGACCCAGAGATATAACCGAATTATCGCAGAAGTCTCCTCAAATTTTCCTAGAAACAGTCATCTGATTTCTTCGGAACCTTCTTCCAGAAGTCCTTCTTGCTTCCACGGTAGCTTCTGTTGACTTCCGCTGGGAAGTTCAACCAACTTCTTGAGCAAGTTTTTTAAGATGTCATTGGAAGATTCCATTTAATCGTTTTTAATTAGTTTTTTCGACATCTCAGTTTCTGCAGATTTCCTTGATAAGTATTTTTGGCCTCGAATCTAAATGTCTTCTGATTTCCTCGACAGTTTCTCCTGGACTCCCTCAATTTATTCTGGCTTTCCTTAGAACATTTCTCTAATTTCACTTCAGAGCATTCTTCCGATTTCCTGTAGAAGATCTTTAGAGTTCCTCTGGATATTTCTATAATCTTACTGCATAGATGCTTCTTATCAGAGTTGCGACCTATCACAATCACGATCGCCAAACAGCTGATGGTAGTAACGCTTTGTACATTCCTATCAATGTGCTCGTCGAAGCTCTCTCCATGACCATCCATCAAGTTGACGAAAGAAGTAAAAAGCAACTGGTGAGTGTCGTCTTCTGTTGTCATCCATCACCGATCTGATCATTCTGTGCTCGTTTTGAAGCAATTGCTGCTTTGCTTACTTATGTGAGTGTGTTGGTGAGTGAGCCCAACAGCTTCCGTTTCATGTTGCCTGCTTTGTTTGTAACTCACACAGTCGCGCCTGCCGAGACGAACTTGGAATGCGTAGGCATTGTTTTCATTTTCTTCTGTCGTTTCGCTTTTTCTCATGATCGTAGTGCAGAAGTCTTCACTGTTTTCGTTATGCTTTTCATCATCAGCAGCAAGTGTAACGTTTTGCTTGTGAGCAGCGACCATTACTGGTGATTGTTGTTTGCCATGGCTCTAACTCTCACTGCGTGACAAAACGATCTGTCAGCGATAGTCGGTTGATGCGAAGACGAGTGTCACGTGAGTGTCATGATATTTTGCATCACTGCTTCTTATGACTCTTATGGGAAAATTCATAGATTTTCTCCCAAAAAATACATTTAAATTTTTTCTCGGGAATCACGAAACGTGAATTTTGGTAAATTTCCCGGCTATGAAACACTAGTTCTAGGGGAGGAATATCGTATTCTTTAACTAAGAAAATGTTACACAAATATAACCGTTACGTGGAGCATTTTCTATAATCTGTAAACTTTTAATGCTTGTTGGAATCCCAGAATTGAACAATAACAAGATTTTACTATACCACTCATTTTGTTGACATATAATTTATTATGATTCTGAAGTACTTTTATGATTCTGAAATAAATATAAATAACTCATAACTCGGACCTTAACAAAAATTTCAATTAACCACTTAATTCGAGCAGTTAAAATGACGTTTACTACCACGTGAACTTTGAAATAAAACATTATTTTGAGATTTTTGAAAAGTAGCCAACATTTGTGCGTTTCATAAAAAAATAGAAATTAGTTGGTCCAGTTTTGTGAAATAGCTGGTAGAAAGTTACGCCAAAACTGCTTGACAAAGTGGTCAATTCCTGCTGCTCTAAAACCTCGAAAAAACAATCTGCGTAGTTTTTGTCTACGTTGTATTTTTTTTTTCAAATTCCTTAATTTTAATTTTCAAATTCACTTCCCCGTACAACCCTGAAAATGTTCCGGTTTTTAGTAGGGGAGATGTCGGCTTCAGCAATACCTTAACGTATTATTGTCAGGGGGTAAACAAAGTCCTAGAGCACTCAAATTTGGCCAATAGGTGCTCTGAAACGCAATGTATCCACATGCCAAAATTGAGCTCTCAAGGACGTTGTTTACCCCCTGACGATAATAGAATAAGGTATTTCCGAAGCCGTCATTTACCCTATTCAGCAAAAAACTAAAGTTCAATGTTTAATTTTTTTTTTTAATCACCGCTAGCAAATTTTTTTGTATTCAAAACAGTTTCTGGTGTAAAATTTGTATTCAAAAATAAACTATTGATCTAAACGGTTATGTTTTCATCAGTGGATATACGTATACGTACTCGGGCGTCACAATATCAGCTTCAATCGACCAAATCGATGCGACGAAGAGACTGCTGGCTTTCTTTTTCTGTTAAAGTCGAACAGCTTCGCAGCATTCTAGAACCTCAGTCGGCGTGCACAAACAAATCTAGATAGAGCTGGAATTAGGGCCTAACAGCTTTTGTAAACAATGGCTTTTCTCGATGATTTCTAGGAATTCAAGGTGCGCCAACGCAAACCAACACAGGCATGGGATAGGGGAAGACTTCCCATACCTGATGGTGATATTGATTTGATTGGGCGAGCCTTGAGTTTCTAGAAATCATCGAGAGAAGTCATTGTTTACAAAAGCTGTTCCGCCCTAATTCCAGCTCTATCTAGAAATGTTCAATCGCTTGTCTCTCTTTCTCCTGTCGCTCCATTGGTCTTTCTTTCAAGCTTCGTTGAAACGGACGAGCGAAAGAGCGCTCGACTTTGATAGTTTCGTCTTTCATGAAACACATCAACAGAGGTTTCATGACGTATATGACGTAAAATGAAAATATATATTTAAAGCACACACTTAGAAAATTTCATGTAAATTTAGGTGCTCTGAGACTGACATATACGAGCGTCAATTTTGACATAAAATTGAGACATAATAGATGCGAAATTCAGCTCAATCAAATGTACTTTTTGTCGAGTAACGAACTTTTCAGTCTCAGAGCACTTAATTTTACATGACATGTTTGTTTACGTCTCATCCTTTATGTCAAAGATGGATTCCGTCACGTGTGAAATTAGGAATTTCTAAGTGTGTAAGTTTCTTGCGATTCACCCCAGAAATATAAAGTAAATTTCTCCAAAATTGATTCCCGTGTGGTGTGATATATTTTTAGTAAAAACGTTTAATAATCATGATTTTTCAAAAATTTATCCGTTTCCCGGGAAGCCGAATTAGATTCCTGGGAATCGGGAAACGTGAATTTTGGTATCCCGGAGTCCCGAGTCGGAAACACGACTTACCACAATTGTTTTCACTTTTGCCCAACTTTGTTCTTCAAACAACAACATTGAATATGAAACCGAATTACTTCGCTTAGATTTTATAAATCAGTCCTATAAAAAAATTGTGCACTTGCATTTCGTTCGTCTAACCTTATGACAGTTAAGATCCATTTTAGGCCATCTTCAGTCTTAAAATTCGCAGCTTTCCGACAGTCCCATCAAATCAGGTAAGGATTTTTATTTGCTTGTACATACACACGCGCGCACACACACACATGCCAGTCGAGCACATTACACCCCCGTCGTCACACACGTGGATCCAATGCATGAAGAGTGAGTTTCAATTTTTGTTATCGTATTGGTTGGAAACATTTTCATTTCGTCTTTTGGGGATCACCAGTAAATATCGGATCGAATCTAAAGCACAGCTTTTTGCAAACAAATTTGTATCATCCCTTCTCTAGGGGTAGCAGTCTGCGGCGGGTCAAGAATGGCAGTTCCAAGTGGAAAGTGAAGGAAATCTCCCTGGACGGCGGCGGCAGTGCAGGAGGAGTTGGAAATAAGGAGAACGACGGTGGTAACAAGTCGAACCGGAATTCGGCGAATCTGTCCGGCACGGAGATCAGTCCGGCTCTTTTGGCACAAGCGAACTGGACTTTTGTGGAGAAGTTGTTGAAGGTTCGTATTTAATGACTTCAAAAATAGGGGTTCTTATCTAATGATTCCATTTCAGGACTGCAAAAGCAAAACCAAACGAATGCTGCTGGAGAAGATGGGTACGGAAGCAATCGAACTGGGTCTTAGCGGAGAAACATCCGTCACCGGAGTGGAGGAGAACACGATGATCGCTTCGCTGTGTGATCTCATGGAGAAGGTGTGGTCCCATGGAGTGGTGAACAAACAGGGTAAATCAGCTCTCTGGGCCCACCTGACGGCCTATTTGGACAGCAAGGATAAGACACAGGGCAAACAGAATGGCAACAATTACCTTTCGCCTGGTAAGTTTATGTTATACGAATCATTACACACACAAAACAAATGCTTCTGTCCTAAATGATCTAAGTACGAACATCTTCTAACACATGCAGCCTTGGCGTGGACGGGTTTGAGAAAACGGAGGGAACGTACGTCTATATGTCCTTAGTTTTTAAAATCATCTAGCTTGTTTCATATTGTTTATTTAGTAGCCAAACATTTATTTCTCCTTGTATCTGTGCTTCAGTTTGATGTGCCTAATTTCAACGTTTCCCTCTTTGTTTCGTTCGATGTAGCTAGCTGCACTAGCCCAAAATCAAGCTTCACTAGCAATGGTAAACCTACTAGGCTCACCATTAGTCCCACTGCATCACCCAACAGCAATAGTAGTAACGGTGGTAGTCCCAACACTAGTAACACTAGCAGTAAGATCAAGTTTAACAGTATTATCCGGCTGAAGCGTACCCTTAAGAAACCCCCGACGGTGGCCCACCGCAATGAGCCCATTTCGTTGTCCTCACCGGAAATGTCACCTACCTCAGCCAGTCGACTCAGTAACTTTGTCCTACCCAGTATCATTGCGAATTTGGTGGGTAACCGATACGTCAGCGTATCCAGCTCTGGTAGTATCAACGGTAAGTTCGGGACTGTGATCTAACTAAAACAAAAATCTCAAAAATGCTCCGAAGGGCAGGTTTAACCCTATTGATCTATCGACATATTTTATTGACAACTGGAGACTAACACCGTATCGGGTAATGAGCGCGAACTAATGATGAGACTAATCCGGAGGGTAGTGCTTGGCTTGATTCACTAATGTGCTAATTCGTAGATATTCACTTTTCAGTTATTTTTAGTACCATAGACCACGCTGTCCATTAGATATTAATTACTCAATTCCTCCCTCAAGACCTTTCGGCACTGGCCATTGAACCAGAGCTGTACTCGTCGCCAACGCGAGGTCGCTCCAAGTCACGGGATCGCAAAAGTTTGGGACCTGAACAGTTACGTCCACTACCTGAATCTCTGGAATTCGACATAAGGTTAGTAGAACCCAATGGATTCAATGGTTCTTCTCTGACATGATCCAACTTTTTCCATCCAGGAACATACAAGCCATGACGGACATCAAAACCCACATCGGTTACGCCCGGGCTTGGGTACGGCTTGCATTGGAGAAGAAACTACTGTCGCGTCATCTACGCTCACTTCTCACCGATACACCTCTTCTGCGGCAGCTCTACAAGCGATCCGCTTTCGTGCGAAGTGACGATGAAGTCGAACAGTTCCTTTACCATTTGCTGACACTGAACGCGGTGGATTACTTTTGCTTTACCAACACGTATCCCACTACCATGCTGCCGTATCGGGTTGTAATTTTCCCTTCGAAGAAGGGCAGTGCAGCTACCACTTCGGCAAACGTGTGGATTGCCATCTCGGGAACGCTGGGCGAAACGCAGCTGATCAACGTTCCACGGCATTCGTTGGAGTTTGTGTTTCATGTAAGGCAATATTATTTAGTATACAATTGCTGTCTACTTCATTGTTATAATTGCAGCATAAAACCTTGGGTATACTAACCTCACTACGGGTCGGTCATGACGACACTGGAATGTCCTCCAAATGGCTGGTGGAGCACGTGGTCGTCAGGAACGAAGTTACTGGACACACTTACAAGTACTTAATCATTATCATCCACATCTTCTTCAAAATTAGTCCAAACTTTCTCGATTGTAGATTCCCTTGCGGTCGATGGCTGGGCCGAGGCATCGACGATGGCTCCATCGAACGGTTACTGATCGGTCAACTGATACCGCGAACCGTAGACAGTGAAGAGCTGGTAGAAGCTTGTCGTACTCCACCGCGAACCCGTAGCCCTAGCATACAGCGACCGGAAGTCCGTCCCTCGGATATCCAGCACATGCTGGGAGACTGCGTCAACGCAATCGTCAAGTGGCACTACCGACCCAGTCGCGAACGGGACGCCAGTTCCCTCACGAACCTCCTATGCGGTGAAAACGGACTGGTCAAGTGTCTGGAACAGGCATTCCTCTGTGGCTTCCGCTCGCAACGGTTGTTCGGCCGGAACCTCTATCTTTGGGATTACTTTATACGGGTAAAGGAACAGTTCGAGGCCAGCTTGGTAGAAGAGACTGTCGAAATGGTCCGCGGTGGAGGGTCAGCCAGCAATTCACCTCCAAACAGTGGATCCAGCCCAGAATCTCCGCCACAGGCATCCACGACACCGCTTCCTCCCGTGGCAAAACATGAACTTTTGGCTGTATGGCGGTGCTACTGCCATCTGATGGACGAGATCAACAACGTTAAACAGACCCTCGGGAAAGACGGTCGCTTTCAATTGTTTATCTGTTTGAGCATACGGTACGTCTGCGTAGATGAACTGTAGTCTTGAAATCATCTAACTATAACCAACATTTCAGGGAACACCTCCTGCATCGGATGCTGGTCCCAATGGCGTACACCCGTGTCACCACCGAGATGTACGAAGAACAGAGCTTCATGCGCAAGAAGGGTCTACTGACATTCCTTAGGCAGATCCTGGAACCACTGGATGAATTCCACATAGTGCTGGAGAACTCGATCACTCAGGGAATCGGATCTCACTGTTGAACAAAAATTGGTTGTAAAGCATGGTGCGAAAGCAAAATTCTGAATAAACATAATACTCACTAGTGGTTAGTTTCCTCCCCGAAGAAACTCATTTCTGTTTAGGATACCTAATTTTTTACCTAATTTAAACGACTCATGAACTGACACGTAACCGCAACTGAATAATCGAAATCGATGGCCAAAGATTATTAGAGCAATTTTTTGTTCCTGAGATGTTATTCATATTACTATTATTATTATTATTTTCGAACATTGGTTTGATTTACGTTATAGTTTTGTATGTTTTTAGTGAAACTCGTTGATTTGCTGTAGTTTGTAATAATTACGTTTAGGTTTTTATGTTAAAATCTAACAGAAAAGAAAATCAAGTTTGTGCCAAAACTCAGCTGGAAAGAAGTGAAAACATTAAATTCTAACTCCATAACTTTCATTAGCGTGGCTATGAATAAAAAAACAAAAAGAGTGAAAAATTGTAGAAACTAGTGCTTATAGTTTATCATACTTTAAAAATACAGCAGCTACCAGGGCGGTAAGTCCCAACGGTTGAATGTGTGATACTAAAATGCGACTTGCAATGACAAACCAAATTGTAGTTTAGTTTAAGGCTTATTCACGCAGCGAACAAATGATATTCACCGCATTCACTGAGCAATCCTCTAGAGCAACTAGCATCGATATTAGTCAAAGCATTACCGATTCATTAGTCATTGGTGGAAACAGAACAACAATATTGGAATTACTTAGCTAAAAAAAATTATCGAAACTTTCAGTTATGCCGTCTTCGGAAGAAGTAAAGGTGCACATCAAATCCAACAGGTTGGAATTCATTCTAGTAACCTCCAGTGAAATTTATCAAACCAGTTCAAAGTCCAAAAAGGAGACTATCAGCTTGAATTGCATTTCATGATCTTGCAAATACGGGAAATTAATTTTATCTCAAAACTAATTGTGGTAAACGGTGTTGAAAGCATTTTCTCTTACACGCACGCACCTTTTAATTGATATAATTATTATGTATGTGTTCGTTGTAGCGCTGGCAGTAGGCAGAATATTAGATTTAAGTTTTTGTGGTGGAAAGCCATGTGAAGATATTGTCCATAACTGTAAACAAGGAATACTGAAAATAAATTTATTTCAATCCAAATAGGTGTGTTTAGTTCCAGCAACGACTGTCAGAATAATAAATCAATCCAAATTTTAAGCAATATCAACCTAAATTTGAGTCCAGCGACCTTTCTCGATTTCGTTTTTTCTCGCTATTGTCAAAAAATGCAGCTAGTCGGGTTCAATAATCCCGTGAAAGATGCCGACATTGAGTGATATAAAGTGTTTTCAAAATTGAATAAACAATATAAGAGCGCAAAGTATACATTAGACTGATGCAAAATTAGAAATTTTCGCTCCATAGTGTTCAAACGGTTCTTATTTGGTTCCTGATTAGTCTTCCAAAATATGAACTCATTTAGTAAGAAACTGACTTGGCACAAACCATTTGAAGTTTATATGGAAATTAATATGGGAAAACCAAATTTTGTGTTCTTATCTATCTAATAATTCACCCTATTACTCTGCTCTAAAACTTCCAACATGAAAACTAAAACTAACTAAAACTTCGATAAAATGTAAGGATCAAAAGTTATTATTGATTATGATTATGCTCAATCAACTGCTCAGCAGGCAACATTGGTTTTTCTGGCGCGTAGAATAGAGCTAAAACATCATGGTTACTATGTCACACTGCAGAATACAGTGTTGTCCACAAAACAGTTGCTTGATCATGCCATAAGATTATCAATCTCTTAAACAATTAATAGGGGAAATTCAGGTAATGTCGGCCTTAGTGTCCCTAATTTAGGCCCATACATAAATTCATCAATCGACTAGATTTTCAATAGCAACCAAAAAAATCCATTAGTAACGTCCCAATGACGCGTTTATCTAGATACAATTGATAAATAGCGGATTTTTAACGATGGGCCCAATCTTAGATCCATAGGTCAACATTAGAGACATTTCCCCTATTGATGGAGTTGGTTGGAAATGCTAACATGAAGCTTTAGTGTGATAATTTATTAGCTAGAGAATGATCTTTAGAAGAGAGTAGGTGGATAGTTCCGTTAGAGTACGGCAGTATGAAAATTGAATAGAAGTTGAAAATGAGCGAAGGGCCATTAATGCGACAGTTTTTTAAAAATAGACGCACATCTTTTGCCTAACCCGTACGATGTACGCGGAGCAGAGCTGGTAAATATCACGGCCGTCATGTGACGATGAGAAAACAGGTCCTCTCACCATCACGAGATGAAACTACCTATCATTAGCTTTCTTGTCATTTTCCAATGATAAAGCACTCATGAGAATAATTCTTATGCAGTCTTGCCATCAACATTTCTAACTGATTTAGATTAATTTAAGCAAACAACCGTATGTATTTAATCGGTAGAGTGAATATATTATTAAGATTTCCCCGGTACAAGTAACTTTAATAGCATTAAATGAGCTAGTAATTACGATGATCACAACACTGTCACGTTCTGTCATGACAAAAAATTCGATGAGATTTTGAAGAAAATCTCTATCATCGTTTTCTCATCCAATGAAAGTGACAGAAGTATCTCTGTAAATATCGCGTGAGATCTTTCATTGAAAATGACATTTGCCAGCCCTGACGCGGAGACTTGAAGTATGGGCAAAAAATGTGCGTCCCTCTTTTGCTCATAAACTGACTGCGGCTGTGGAATAGTTCTAGCGACGTTTTCATCACTACCTAAAGCCCCACGTTGCGAGAGCATTTCCAAATGTTTGGTTGAAAAACAATATTCCGCAAAGTTATAGCTGAGAATAACTATAGAAATTTTTAACGGTGCAATATAGAAGAAGAATAGAAGACTACGAAGAAAAAGTTTGGTTTTCCCATAGTAATTCCCATATAAACTTCAAATGGTTTGTGCCCAATCAGTTTCTTACCAAACCAGTTCAAACCTTGGGAGGCTAATCTGGACCCGATTTGGAACCGGTTGAGCACTGTGGAGCGAAAATGTCAAATTTTGCATCTGTCTAGTATACATATTTACACCAATTGTTCTCAAAATTAAAAGAAGCGCTCCTAGCGAATCAATTTATTCTACCATCCTCTCAGTGGCGTCGCGTAAACTCACTTTTTACCTGTGCACCAACTTCAAAAACAGATTTAATGCCATATTCATACTCGAATGTGTTGAAAAATACACTTAATCTTCTAGTTAACTCGATATCTATCCATTGCAAGCAATATTTTGATAATTGTTTATGTTTTGATAGTTGATGCACAGGTAGATTGAGGTTAAGGCGACGCCACTGCATCCTTTGTATAATGAAGAAAATCCAATGGTTTTTTTAATACGTATAGACGAAATTGAAACTCGTATGACGGAATGGCAATCAATAAGCAATACTAACTCCTGTAAAATAATTTATGTAAATTTGTAACTTTGGAGCGTAGTAGCGAAACAAACCTATTATTGATGCTTTCTATTAGATTGAACGGAAAAATGGTATTACGACAAAGTAGAGCCCTACCCTACCACCTATTGACCTGAAGAGATCTCGACAATTTGCTGATCAATTTCTAAGATTGTCCATTTCTTGCAAGATGGGCCCATGCATTAATTATGTCACGCTAAATCGAGCAAAAAATTACCTCCCCCCCCCCCATTCGAGACGTTTTTCCTATACCTAATGCATTGCTTGTCACAAAATCTTAGACCCCCCCTAAGAGTATGACATAATATATGCATCAACCCATATGAGTCTCTACTATCGAATTGAGCCAGCAGAGAATTGATTGTTTCCGTAGTTGGCTAGTAAAGGGTGATACGGTCAAAATTTGGTCAATATCAACTTGACGTATTTCTTTCAATTTTGCATTTAAAAAACCTGAACACCCCTCATTTTGAAGAAGTGTGTGTAGAATGTTGCTCCTATTTTGATTTTGGAATTCACTCTTCAGTTGTCAAAATGCCGTCCAAGCAAGAAGAGCAGCGTATCAAAATTTTGCTCGCGCATCGCGAAAATCCGAGCTACTCGCACGGAAAGTTGGCAAAATCGCTAAAAGTTGCCAAATCAACCGTTACAAATGTAATTAAAGTGTTTGGGGAACGTTTGTCGACAGCCAGGAAGTCTGGATCGGGGGGAAATCGAAAACCGGAAGCCGCTGAGACGACAAAGAGAGTTGCCGGTAGTTTCAAGCGAAACCCTAACCTCTCTCTCCGAGATGCCGCAAATAAGCTGGGTGTATCGTCTACAACCGTGCATCGAGCCAAAAAACGAGCCGGACTATCGACTTACAAGAAGGTAGTGACTCCAAATCACGATGATAAACAAAATACGACGGCCAAAGCGCGATCCCGGAGGCTGTACACGACGATGCTGACGAAGTTTGACTGCGTGGTAATGGACGACGAAACCTACGTCAAAGTCGACTACAAGCAGCTTCCGGGACAGGAGTTTTATACGGCAAAAGGAAGGGGAAAGGTAGCAGATGTTTTCAAGCACATGAAACTGTCAAAGTTCGCAAAGAAATATCTGGTTTGGCAAGCCATCTGTACCTGTGGCTTGAAAAGCAGCATTTTTATAGCTTCCGGGACTGTCAACCAAGAAATTTACGTGAAAGAGTGTTTGAATAAACGTCTGCTGCCTTTCCTGAAGAAACACGGTTGTTCCGTACTGTTTTGGCCGGATTTGGCATCTTGCCATTACGGTAAAAAGGCCATGGAGTGGTACGCCGCCAACAACGTGCCAACAACAACCCTCCCAACACGCCAGAGCTCCGCCCAATTGAGAAATACTGGGCTATTGTCAAGCGGAACCTAAAGAAGACCAAAAAAACTGCTAAGGGCGAGCAGCAGTTCAAGGCAAACTGGCTTTCTGCGGCGAAGAAGGTGGACAAGGTGGCTGTACAAAATCTGATGGCAGGGGTCAAGCGTAAGGCCCGGCAATTCGGATTTGGAAAAGCGGAAGCCTAACTGAATATTTTTCCTGAATTTTATACTAATTGAACTTGAAAAAGAAATTTAATTTGATTTTTTAAATAAACGACTTCACCGATTTACACGCGTTTTCCCTTGACCAAATTTTGACCGTATCACCCTTTAAAAGCGGAAATAACTGGTAGTGCCCCAAGCAAAACGCATGTCAAGTTGACAGACATATTGGACTTTTTTAGAGAAATTTTATCTGTAATTTTCTATGCAAGGACCTAGAGGACGAAAAATATAAGAATTGAGAGATCAGCTGCATGAGTAAAAATTCCAAGCAAAAACGAAGCTTCTCAGATAAGATTCAATAAGATAAGAAGCTTAAAAAATTAAACTTTTTTTTGCTTGCAAAACGCGTCCTTCCTATAACTAAACAAAACATAGGCAGGGTAATAAACCAGAGTAGCTACGCACCCGGATACAGAACCATCTTGCAGAATAGTATTGGAAGGAAAACAAAATTAACCTGAAAATTCCGATTTTACTGGTAAAATGTCCAGTTTTCAGAACTTTTCCCCTAAGACAAGATGAATAAATAACGTAGCATTTAAGGGTGACCAGTCCATGTTAAAAATACGCTACAAGGGGAGGGAGGCCAAAGTTGGTGTTTCATGAAACGTTAATAAACTTTACGTTTCATGAAAGACCAACTTTGGACCCTGTCACTCTTGTAGCGTATTTTTCTAGATGGCTGGTCACCCTAAAATGCTATGTCATTTGTGCATTTTCCCTAAATCCATGATTTTTTTTTTTTTAATAAATAGAATTTTGAGCATAGAGCAGTTTCAGGCCAAATAGCGAAAAAATAATAATTTTTGTATCGACCTTCTCCGATTTGTGTGACAATGTGTGGCAATGATTCACATTTTTGCGAAAATTCGTCCATTTGTTTTGCCTATTAGTTTATTTGATAAGGCTCAACCGAATTAATTTTACAGAGCCGAGGATTATTGTTCACTATACAATACATCTTAAAACTACAGTCAAAAGGTGCAACACAATAAACTTTTAACCTTCCGCTATCCAACAATCCTCCTCCACCAGAACGGGAGCAGCTTTCAGTTGTTTCATTGTATGGCAGATTCGCCAACGGGGGTCAGAGCGCTTCCATTGCAGCAATGAAGCATAA